TTGGGCTTTAGCCCTCCTTAGCCCCACAAAAAAAAAAAAAAAAAAAAAGACAAAAGGAAAAGCTAATAATTAAAGCATTTTGTTTTATAATAGCCATGCCAATACTAATTTAAAATTCGTCTTCCAACAATGCGAATTGGTGATCACGCTCTTTAAAAATAAAGTATACACAATTGATAGTATCGTGTAGCAGAGAGAAACATTGAAACACTACGCGCGTCTTCAATCTTCTTCTTCTTGCTTCCCTAGCTATCTTTTTGCTTTCTCTGCTCTCTCATCTCTGTCGCGCGTGACTATGGAAGCTGCAATGGTGTTAGAAGTTCTCTATACTTTTCCTGTGGAGGGAATACTGAACAAGCTGGCTTCACTTGCTGCTCAAGAAATCAGTCTTTTCCGGGGATTCAAAAAGGAACTAGCAAAGCTTCGTCAATCGTTACTCGCGATTCAAGATTTCTTAGGCGATGTGGCCCACCAGCCACAGCAACGGGGCAAGGCAGTGGAGAAGTGGGTGAGGAAACTGAAGGACATAGCTGATGATGCTGACAATGTCTTGGATGAAATCAACTACGAAGATCTCCGCAGGCAAGTAGAACAGCCAAGCCAAAAGAGGACAAAGGTATGCAAATCCCTTTCAAACTCCTGGTTTCGTCGAAACATGGCACATAAAATCAAGAAGATCAATGCATCTTTGTTGGATCTCAAATCTGAGGCATCTTTCGTTGGACTAGTTTCCAAGAAAATAGATGCAACCCCACAAGAAATTGTAGGGGCCAGAGAAACCGACTCAATCTTTGAGGAAGATGAAATCTTCGTTGGAAGGGATGAAGTTCTGTCAAATATAATTACAACCTTGACCAACTCCAACTTGGATCAAGAAAATCTTTCAGTAATGCCCATTGTAGGAATGGCAGGCCTAGGGAAGACAACTGTGGCTAGGTCACTATTCAATGAAGATTCAATTGGTGGACATTTTGAGAAGAAAATATGGGTGTGTGTATCTAATACTTTCGAGGTCAAGTCGATTTTAAGCTCGATATTAGAATCTCTTAACCCAACGAAGGCTGGGATACAAAGCCAAGATGCATTGCTTAAAAACCTCATAGAAGAATTAAAAGAAAAGAGATATTTTCTCGTTCTCGACGACGTGTGGAACGAAGATCCTCAAAAATGGAGCGATTTGGTGACTTGTTTATCAAAACTTCAGAGTGCTCGGGGAAGTGTCGTTATTGTCACTACACGCAGTGCCACTGTTGCATCAATCACGGAAGTAATACTTCAAAGGTGTGTTTTGGGAAGTCTATCCATTGATGATTGTTGGGCCATACTGAAGAAAAGAGCATTTCCATATGGTAGTGCTCCTATCGCAAATGATCAAGAAACAATTGGAAGGGAGATTGCCAAAAATTGTGCAGGTGTACCGTTAGTGGCAAAGGTATGTACCGATATATCAATTTGAAGTTTCATCGGCATGCATTTCTTTATTTGTTACAAGTACTAAAAGTATTCAGATAATTTACATACAAGATATTTAGATATAGCCCTTTGCAACTAAAATAGTCACATACTTTTTTAATATATTCTAACTAAAACACCCAAAATTGAATTGAACGACAAATTCTCCATTAGTATTGAATTATCCTTGTAAATTATTTACAAAGATAATGCTTCCCTCCTTGCCCATAAGAAGGAACTTCTCTTTGCCTACTGATATGGCTCATCCACAATCTGACATGTATCTCTCTTGTTAGGTTGGTTGGTGTGAGTGGTTCGGCACTCTCATTCCTTAAGAGAGGTCAGGGGTTCGATCCTTGCTCTCGTACGGAGTCACCACTTTGGCCAACACTTTACCCCTTACGGGCCGACCCGGTGTGAGTGGGGATTAGTCTGGGTTGTGGTTAAGGCTTAAAGGTGCCACCCATAGTTGGGGCCCATCCAGGACCACCTCATGGTTTAGACCAAAAAAAAATAAATGCACCTTTGAAAAAAAAATAAAAATTGGCAAGTGTTAAGAATAATGCTTCCCTCCTTATGGGCAAAGAGGGAAGTATTATCCTTTTTACGATCCCTTGCCATAACCCCCTACGTTTAGCACTCAACATTCTCCCTTTTTAGTCCCTTATTTTTAGCCATTATTATTTCCAAATTTTAATTAGTACCTATTGTGTATTATTTTATTTTATTTTTACAAAATTATTTAAATCCAATGCTACATTTTTAATCTCATAACTAATATTTCCCCAAGCCCAACTTCAAAACATTTCTCTTTTCTATGCCCAAAATCTCTCTTTGTATGAAATTGGATCATTTCTTAATTTTTAAGCCTAAAAACAAAAAGAGTTTGAATTTGTATAATAATAATAATAATTCGGTCTAAAATCAGACCAAAAAGTAAAAATTTATTTTAGTTCAACCCCCAAATAATAATAATAATAATCCGGTCCAAAATCAAACCAGACCAGAAACTAGACCAAAATTGGTTCAAATCGGACCGATTGGTTTTTACTAAAATTAGACCAAATCGGACCAGTTAAATAGTACCAATTTTGGTTTTGGTTTGAGGTGGAAACCAGACTGAACCGGACCGCGCCCACCCCCTATTAGAGATGCTCTTAGGTAAATTAAAACTAATGACAAGAAGCAAGGTTTAACGAATTACCACATCAATAAGCAATATTTTCGTGAATTGTGATACCAGGTTTGGCAATGAATGTTGTTATTTCCACACTCTTGTCCTATTTCCCCACCCACCTTATCTTCAAATATTTAACGATAAATTTACCCATTTGTAAAATAACTTCTAAGGATTTAGGGAAAAATCCTTTGCACATTGTTTATTTCCTTTTGAAAATAAATCGATGCCACAGTGGCTTCATGACATGTCTAATATGTACTAGTCGCTCCCCATTGCAGAAAAAATTGATGTCGTTTGAATGCGTGTTAATTTACCTATATTTACATGGAGTAATGCTATTTAGACACACAACATTGACCACTTTAGCTGACCACCTTATGTGGCAATTGATATGTCATGCCAAGTCAATTAATGAATGTCGCCATGTCAATTAAAAAACCCTAGCGTTCCTAGTAAGTGGCCTCATGGCAACATTCATTAATTGACATGACATGACACATCAGTTGCCACATAAGGTGATCAGCTAAGGTAGTTAATGTTGTGTGTCTAAATAGCATTACTCATTTACATGCATGCTACTTTATCAATATTTGCAAGTACAATGATTAGGCATATGTACTTAAAAAGTATAGGCAATTTAATATGTAAAATTTATATAAGGGACATTACTCACATAAAAATAATAGGTATGTACTAAGAAAATACTAAATGTGACATATAAATAAATAAATATATATATAGGTACATTATTTAACCCATATTAATGTACCTAGATTTTGCAAGTTCAACAAGACCTATGAAGAGCAAAACGTGTTCTTTCTCTTTGAAAATTAATTTCAAACTATAACAATGAAAACATTTGAAACTTTGATATAAGTAAAAGGAAATAACTACCTAATCAATTTGAAAACAAAAACAAAAATTATCACGCAGTCAAATTTGGAAACACATCATTTACTCATTGTTTAATTATATATTCCATTATATAAAAAAAGCTTTAATTATATATAAAATAAAAAAAGACCCCCCAATCCCTAAATTTATGCAAAATTGAAACACCATTACTAGCATTGAATTGCAAATAATTTGTTGAAAAGAATATCGTTACAATGTTATTAGGGGTATTTTAGGAATCAAAAAATATAACATTTAACACATTAAGCTTAATTGATATAAGTAAAAGGAAATAACTACCTAATCAATTTGAAAACAAAAACAAAAATTATCACGCAGTCAAATTTGGAAACACATCATTTACTCATTGTTTAATTATATATTCCATTATATAAAAAAAGCTTTAATTATATATAAAATAAAAAAAGACCCCCCAATCCCTAAATTTATGCAAAATTGAAACACCATTACTAGCATTGAATTGCAAATAATTTGTTGAAAAGAATATCGTTACAATGTTATTAGGGGTATTTTAGGAATCAAAAAATATAACATTTAACACATTAAGCTTAATTAGGTAACTCGCTTAGCTAGATCCTAGTTATTTGGTTTTACTTTAAAAAATTGGGTTTTATTTATAAAACATTAAAAAAAAATGTGATGGGTTGTAGGTAAGAAAAAATTTGTTTGAAGGTGAAAACACAAATTTACTATTTACACACATGAACATTGGCTAAGGATTAAACATTCCAACAAAATACCAGTTTTTGGTGCAATGTTAACATTTACTGGTAACATACAACTAAGTTTATTGAAAAAACAAATGATGTTTCCTGTTATTATAGCCAAGTCACCTAGTTAATCTTTAATATATACACTAATTTATGTACCAACAGGTTTTGGGAAGCATGATGCGTTCTATCGATGACTGGTTGGAAATTCAAAAAAGTAAGATATGGGAATTACCAGAAGGAGATGAAAGAATTATGTCGGTTTTGAAGTTGAGTTTTGATCATTTGAAATCACCTTTTTTGAAACAGTGTTTTGCATATTGCTTAAAGTTCAAGAAAGATTTTAAAATAGAAAGGGAAGACTTGATCCAGCTCTGGATGGCTCAAGGATTTCTGTGTTCTTCTCCTAACAAAGATATGGAGGATATAGGTGATGAATATTTTATGATTCTGTTGCAAAACTCCCTCTTTCAAGATGTTATAAGGGATCACTTTGGTATTATTACCCATTGCAAGATGCACGATCTTGTACACGATCTTGCTAAGCTTGTATCAAGATCTGAAATGGAAGATAAACTTGAGAATCAACACGTGGCATGGGATCCTTCCAACAGTTCCGAAAGAAATCTTGAGAAACGGCGGTCACTGTTTGTGTATGGTGATCAAGACCTTAGTAATAATACATTACTTATAAGCTTTAAGGCTTTGCGTGTTTTAAATTTGTACTGGTCTAATATTGAGGAGCTGCCAAGTTCAATTGGCGTCTTGATACATTTGAGGCATTTGAACGTTTCTGGAACAAAAATAAAAAAACTCCCTAAGTCTATTGGCAAGCTTTATAACCTACAGACGTTTAGAATGAAGCATACATGGCATGCTGTTACATTTCCAAAGGAAATGGAAAATTTGATCAACTTGAGGCATGCTTATTTCGATTATGATACGCCAGTTCCATTTGGGATGGAACGATTGGAACATTTGCAAACAATATCTCCTTCGTTTACTTTGGACAAGGAAAGTAATCGTGGAATTGACGAGCTGGGTGGCTTAAACCAATTAAAAGGTGAACTAATTATTAGAGGTTTGGAATATGTGAGGGACAGAGGCCAAGCAGGGGCATCAAATTTAGTTGGGAAAGCAAATCTACGAAGGTTGACATTAGAATGGTCTTCTTCTTACAGGGGCAGAAACGAGGCGGCCTCTGACATTGATGTACTAGAAGGCCTCCGACCCAACTCTGAGTTAGAAGTCTTAAAGATTGGCGGATTCATGGGTTCTAAATTAGCATCATGGATGATGAGTGGTTCGTTGCCACTTAAATTGACAGAGATTCGGTTATGGAATTGCGGAGAATGCGAACAAGTCCCATCACTTGGCCATTTACCAAATCTTAGGCTTGTTGAGTTTAGTGATATGTCAGAGCTTAAATGTGTGGGAGTTGAGTTTTATGGTTATAACCATGTTAACGGTGCGGCTACGAGTACGAAGAAGACAGAGACTTTGTTTCCAGCATTGAAAACCTTAACTATTGATTCTTGCCCAGCTCTAATTAAATGGGAGAAACTGCCAACAGATGAGAAAGTAGCGGTGTTTCCCTGCCTTGAGGAGTTAACTATAAGGAATTGCGATAGTCTCGAGTTCATTCCAATTACCCTGGGCAAGGGCATGCCATGTCTCCGCAAATTGCAGATTAAGGATTGTGAGAAATTATCAAGGTTGCCGACTAGCTTAGAATATTGCATCTCTCTTCAGGAGTTGGATATTCAGGGTTGTCATGGATTGACAAGTCTACCGAGTCGGCTACCATCCTGCACATCTCTTAAGAAGTTGAGAATCGGGTCATGCCACAATTTGATATCTCTGCCAGATCTCGATGTATCCAGGTTGCAGTCTCTTTCCTCTTTACATATATTTAATTGTCGGAAATTAAACTATTTGCCAATAGAGGGGCTACGCTCTCTTACGCGTTTAGAATCTATGAAAATGGGTCCGTTTCGGGAGGGGCTCAATTCTTTCCCTGATTTTGAGCTTCCATCACAAATCCAAAGACTAGTGATGAAAGGGTGGCCTAAGCTCAAGTCTCTGCCTCAACAAATTCAACACTCGACTACTTCTCTAACATCTTTGGAGATTGAATCTTTCCATGGTGTGCAGGCTCTTCCAGAGTGGTTGGGTAACCTTACATCTCTTACCCACCTGAGTATCAAGGAGTGTAAGAATCTCATGTATATGCCTTCTTTACACAGAGTGGTTGGGCTTCGTGAATTGTTGATTGAAAATTGTCAGGCATTATCAAGCTGGCCAAGTGGGTTGGAATATTGCACCTCTCTTCGTAGGTTGATTATAGTTAGGTGCTCCAATCTAACATCCATTCCGCTTTCACAATCTAACTCTGATGCTCCCACACTCCCTCTTCTCGAGGACTTGACTGTAATGTATTGCTCTAGTCTCGAGTTCATTCCAATTACCCTGGGCAAGGGCAAGGGCAAGGGCATGTCATGTCTCCGCAAATTGAAGATTGTGGATTGTGAGAAATTATCAAGCTTGCCGACCAGGTTAGAATATTGCATCTCTCTTCAGGAGTTGAGAATGGGTGCGTTTTCGGAGGAGCTCGATTGTTTCCCTGATTTTGAGCTTCCATCACAAATCCGAATTCTAAGGATGAAAGGGTGGACTAAGCTCAAGTCTCTGCCTCAACAACAAATTCAACACTGCACTTGTCTACAAGTTTTGTATATATACGATTTCGACAGCGTGGAGGCTCTTCCAGAGTGGTTGGGTAACCTTACATCTCTTACCTTCCTGAGTATTCACAACTGTAAGAATCTGGTGTCTCTTCCTGCCGTTGAAGTTATGCAACGCCTCACCAAATTGCAAAAGCTAGTGATTGCTGCATGTCCCCGTCTAGGGGGAAGAGGGGGAAGATCCGCCCTCCAGAGCGGCCCAGAATGGCACAAGATTTCTCACATCCCAGATATATTTGGTAATTACAATATTCTCAAATGAAATCATTCAATTCTCCAATAAGTATAAGTTAAGGATTGCATTCATTAGATGTGTTGTTAGATTTAATTAGGAGATTAGAAGAATCTCCCTTCTTTTCTTCAGTATTATTGACCAAACACAATTTTTAATTAGTTGAATACAAATCGTCGGAACCTTTTAGTTGAATGCAACCCCTTCACAAACTAGCTAGCACAGTTGGAGCACAAAGTGAGTCTACTCTTCTTCTCTCATCAGATTAATCGTTAAACTAGATTTTCAGAGCTTTCTACTCTTCTCTAGCCTCTGCTTAATGTTTTCCATATCTTCCTATATACGTTGTTGGTTTGCAGAAGGATCTTACGCAATTGGAAGAACAAATAATGCGCATTAGATGCAAACTTAGTCCAGGTACTTCACTTTAGTTCCCTTTCCTCTGCATCGTTATTTACTCATTTCTTTGGAGATCAATGCAGAAAAAGAAAGAATTACCCTAATAATCATATCATACATTCCCATCTAATCATAACATCACTTTACTAGCACGGAGGAGAATACGAGTATTCTGAGAAATCATTCTCCAATTTGTATATGAGAAAAGTATTCACACTTTTGCTTTATATATATATAGATGATATTCCTCCTGTTTCAATACAGATTACATACACATGAAATACTATCATTAAGTAGATACTAGCCTCTGTTCATTCTCAGTGCACTTAAGTTTGATGTGCTTACACGAATGTGAGTTTAGTTTACATATCAGTTTCAGTAATATGTTCATAAGTTTTGTTGTCATTTCAACTTTTTATACTTTTTCGGGTCAGGTTTTGATCAGCATTTTTCATCTGCCTCATTCTCACCACTTAATTCTTTTCCAGAGGGGATGGGGATGTATTTGCTATAGATCCTTGCATGAGGTAGGTGAAGGTGTCCATCAGATGGATTTGTGAAGCTGATCAACGACGATGTGTCATGGCAAGCACAAACTGATAAGGATGAAATATGGTAATTTGCAGGAATCATGAGATAATATTGATACAGACCATTATGTGTTGGCTTCCAGTGGTAGTAATCTTGTATGAGCTAGTTCTTTGCTTGTTATGGCTGAAGATCACAGGGTAGCCAAAGCTCAAGTCTCTACCTCAACAACAATTTCAACACTGGACTTGTCTACAAGATTTGTATATGCAGGATTTCGACAGCGTGGAGGCTCTTCCAGAGTGGTTGGGGTAACCTTACATCTCTTACCCATCTGAGGATTAAGGCATGTGAGAATCTGGTGTATCTTCCTGCCGTTGAGGTTATGCAACGCCTCACCAAACTTGTTACATGTCCTGGTCTAGGGGGAAGATCCACCCTCCTGAGCGGCCCAGAATGGCACAAGATTTCTCACGTCCCATGTATATCTGGTAATTATATTCTCAAAAGAAATCCTTCGTTGTTTGTTCAATTCCCTTCTCACTTTTCTTTTCTTCAGTATTGACCCACTCCCACTCCGAAGATGTAACCCAACCTATTACGAGCATTCTTTTTCAAGTGGTGATGATTCTGAGAGTGGGCCTACTCTTCTTCTCTAAGTAATTACGTTCCTCTCTGATCAGATTAATCATTAAACTATATTTTCAGAGCAGAGATTTCTGCTCTTCTCTAGCATCTTCCTATATATGTTGTGTTACTGATGGCATTTACTGTCAGTTGAATTTGGTACAATTTGTTGGATTTCAATTCCGGAATAGGTGATGCGGAATAGGTGCAAACTTAGTCCAGGTACTTCGCTTCAGTTCCCTTTCCCTGCATTGTTATTTACTCATTTCTTTGGATATAAATGCAGAAGAAGAAAAAATGGTGACTGGGATTGATTAGAATTACCCTAATAATCATATCATACATTCACATCTTCTAATCATAAGATCACTTTACTAGCATGGAGAAAACAATTATTCTTAGAAATCATTCTCCTATTTATATATGAGAAAAGTTTTCACATGTTTAGCTTCAGTCCTTATCATTTGAGATATATACATTTCCCTAGCAATGTTGTGTTTAGTATTGTTTACTTTTGAAGTGTTTTATATGTGTTCATCTGTAGCTTGCTAAATGTTGTGTTTAGTATTTTTATATCCTTCCATCTTACCACTGGATGTATCTTTCACCTTTCTTCACTTGTTGTGTAACCATTTCTGAAGAACCTGTGTTATTTATGAAATTGATGATACTCATTTGCAGATTTTTGGGACAAGCATCCATTTGAAGTTTAAAGAGTCCCTAGAAGTTGTTTATACAAATTTGATGATCTGGAGGATTTACTCGAGTGATGAGGGAACCTTGCAGCTGTTGATGAACTATCTATTTGTTTCTGTGAGGATTTACTCGAGTAATGAGTATCTACCGGCAGTTGAAGGCTCCGAAAATGTCCCCAAAACAAAAAGATGCACCGAGAAGAGCCGCCCAAGTCAAGTGGCAAAGATTTTCTCATATTTCCAAGATTCAAGTGTACGTTTCATTTATAGTTAATTAACTTAATGGCAGTTAAGTTTTTTCTCTACTACAAAACAAAAGAAGAAGAAGAAGAAAAAGAAAGAAAGAGAGAGAAAAGGAGTAGTTTTACCATTACTATACCCAAAAAAAAAGTTTTGGCATTACTATACATTGCAGGAATATATTCAACTCTTTAGTGGTTTGGTTTCAATATCTTAGACTTTCTTGCATCATGGAAGAATAAAACTTATTGCTTTAAATATGACATTGTGTTTTCACAATCTTTGCGGGATAACACTTAAGATTGTTGAGGAAAATTAGGTTTGCTAGTATAGAAGACAAACTAATACATACAGAACAGGCAAGACACTTCAGCTCTTGCACGATTTCATTCCAATTTTTTGGATCATCGAACAGAAGCTTTGAGTCATTAGTTTCACAGAACTGCTTTGTTTTTGTGGCAATCTATATAATTGTAGGTGTTTATGAGTCCTTGGTGTCGTTGCGGCATCTGTAATTTTATGTTTCAAATTTTAATTTTTCTCTTTTACAGGCAAGGAGATACTGCAATCAATACTCATATGCTGTCTAACCTTTTGTGTACAACGTGTGGTTCCTTATGCAGGTTTCTGCTATATAAATGGTATATCATTTCTTGATGGTGAAGTGATTTTTTTACTTACATATCTTAGAGTACCCTAAAACAATCATAATATATACATGTAGTGTAAGGAAATTACTATTTCTGGAAGGTGTTGATCTATTTTCCTTTTTCTTGCTTCTGTAATTAAGGTCATGGACTCTTGCATATCACAGAGAACAAAGGCCTCTGTTCCTAGTCTTATTTGATAGCATGTCATTTACCTATGCTATTGCAAGACTCAGGTAAAGGAATCTTCAGTTATAAGCTTTTTACCACCATTTGAAAAGTTGAAGGTTATTTTGAACATTTCTTGCTAAGTTGGTCTTGGTGTTATATTGACCGTGCAGAGTCAAGATAGAAAGAGAAACTCATGCATGCGAATCGCGATGTGCCTGTGGTCTAGACCTTATTGTTTTGGACAAAATAGTAAGCTACTTTCCCTTTAGTTTGTTTTCTTGACACTCAGAATCAAATCTGAGTTATATTCTTATGAATTTTGCATCATAGGGTCAACTTTTGTTTGTTGTTATGCAGTTTAATGAGGGAAAGTGCTTTAAATCGACTTCTAGAAGTGCAGCTTAATTAAGAGAAGCACTCCTTGTAGAGAATACTTTTCCTGGGTAGTCATGCTCTGCGTCCTGTCTCTTCGAAGAAAGATAGTTGAATTGCTTTTATGAGAGACCTTTTGATGTACTTACTACTTGGGGTTCTATTTCTATAGGGAATAATGGGATGAGAGAAGCGAGATAAATTTAGTTTGATGGTGAGAACCTATTTGTTCTTTCTTGTCATACTCTTTGTACTCTTTTTCTTTTGATTAAGTGAATTATCATTGGCATCGTCGCCCGTGGATGTAGCCCAACTTTGGGTGAACCACGTTAAATATGGTGTGTTCTTTTTGTGTTTATGCTTTTACTTTTTCTTCCTCACTAGTTAAATTAAATGTGACAAATTCCTTATTCTGCTACACATCAAAAGTATAGTTGCAACTTGCATTGGGTTGTTTTCATAATCACAAAAATTACTCACGTCAAACTTATTAGCTTATATGGTCCTGACATAAAACTTATCTACAGATTGCTTTAAAATCTCCATTTATACATACATTATAAATGGAGAAATAAGGGGTCACTGCATACATTATACATGATTTTACTTATCTATACGTTCACGTTGAAAGGAAAGTTTCACTATGAAACTAAGAATTAGTCGGTTAAATTATGTAAAATTGCTGGGTTTTTTGTTTTTTGTTAGAAGATAAAAAAATGCTCGGCCCACAACTTACAGAACCAGTGGCATTTATGCGTCCTACTTTCGAGTAGTTGGAGAGCAGCCCAATAAGCATTCTTATCTTCAGTTGCTGGAGCAGGTTTTGAAATTGGAGATTACAGTGTTAAGCATTCTTACCCCAGTAAATTTACAAATCCTGAACAATACAAAATTCTTTTACTTTCTATATCTCAGAGTAAAATCAACAACGTAAATCATTTAGGATTAGGTCAGTTATTCTTATTCAACTGCAACTTCTTAAAACCATGGACAATACAAATGGTACTCTAAATTATAAGGAGGAGGGCGCTTATCACAAACATAATACCAATATGTCATGAGAGTTCGAACCTAAGACTATGCAAATCAAGGCTCTTTTTCATTAAGCTAAACACCATCAGCCTTATTACACTAATTTTTGGTTACTAACTAATTATTCCACTTTTCTTTTGAATACTTACACTCTTTTTTAATAATAATTATAAAAATATTAAAAAATATATAAAGGAATGTAAGTAAACAAAAGAAACTTCCATTTTTATATTGTAAATAAATAATTTTCACATTGAGTCCATACATGAAATAAATAAATTACTGATACATTTGTTAGTAACGAAATCTTGCAATAATAAACAAATTGCAGGATATTGCTGAGTAATATATAGTAAAATCATGCACTGCAATAGCAATAACTGAAGTAAATCCCTCCTAAATCATAGTTGGTAATGAAAAATTAAACTAAGAAAAGTATGACTAGTTGCCACATGTCACACACCCTTTGTTCCTTACTCAAATAAGCAACAACCCCAAATACACGAACCATATTGGTGACATGCTAACTAATTCAAAAATTCCAAGTCATAGCCTTGCTCTTTGTCACATGACTCAATACAAAAATAACCCTTAACAATCTATTAACAGAAAATTAACTATGCTGATGACTTTTTGTCCACAATTACATAAGCTTGAATCTTGAGATTAGAAGACAAGATAATTGTGTTTTTTTTTCTCTCATTTTTCTACTAATAGAGAGCATGAAATGAGAGGTTCGTGTGCCACTATCATACATAAAATGAATAGTTTAGTGAAATAAAATATTTGAATCTTTGCTTAGGTTAGGTCAAAACAATCCAAATTCCAATAGGATATGTTGTGAAAAATGTTATGTGCTTTTTTAAAGATTTAGTTCCATGTATTTTAGCAAATTAAAGAGAAGATAGGCCTCTTTCTGGGGCTCAAAACTCGGATACAAGGAGGAAAGAGAGAAGCAAAGTTTGGATTGGATTATTATAAGTAAACAAAGCCCGATTTAAAAAGTCACTGTATTGCTACAAGCTTTGTCCCACTTTGTGGACCTTTCTCGTGTTTTTTTGTTTTTTTTTTTTGTTTTTTGTTTTTTTTGCTTTTAAACGTTGCACCGTCAAAAAATAACTTACCACAAAAGCTTGCTCTTCTCTTTTTCTTTTTCTTTTTTTTAATTTTTCTTTTTCAACTATTGGACTCTAAGAGCAACTCCACCGGTTAGCTGAGCCCAAGACTGGGAGGGGGGGGGGGGGCAAAAAAAAATGACGTTCTAGCGAGGAGCCCAAGCCCGGGTTAGGAGTGGGACCCACGAAGACGGGCTGGCCCTCAAGCCAATTCAGCCCGAGCTCAAGCCCGAGGATTGGGCTAATGTCATCGCTAACGCCAGGCTGGCGTCAGCCCACTCATCTGATTTTTTTGTTATGTTGCCACATGGCATCGTCTGGGCTCTCCGATCGGATTTTTTCCTCCAATCCAACGATAGCCAATTTTTTTACAATAAAATACTGGAAAAAATTCGGAATTTTTTTTTAAAAAACCCAAAAATTAATGAATTTTTTTCTATAAATTTGAAATTGAAAATTTTATCCGATTGTGAGATATGAATAGTATTGACACGTAGGAACCCGAAAATTTTATCCGAAAATATTATCCAAATTAATTATTGAGGTAAAAAAAAATATAAAAAATGAATAGTAATTGCCCTTTGCCATGGCAATGGGTGGCAACGGAAATGCCTTTTGCAAGGGTAACCACTATTCACGCCCCCCTTGCCATGGCAAAAGGCAAATGGATGGAGTTGCTCTAACTCATAGGCTACACATCATTAGGGTTTATGGTCAACATGGCTTGTTCACACTAAAGGTTGTTTGTATGAGTACCATACCCTAAGTTTGCTTTCATATATTATTATTATTTCCTTCATTCTTATACCTGAATTTTGTAATATGTACTATATAATATTACTTCTTAGCTGTTAGCAAATATTTATAATTAAAAAAATGCATCTCACTTTTTTATTTACTAGATAACTATTTTTTATTATGAAATATTAATTAACTAATGTGCTGAGTTCAACAAGAAAGAACTAGATTTTCTTTTTCTTTTTTTAATTTCTTAACCTAATCTAAGAAAGAACAAGAACCAGAATAACATTGCATTTTAGGGTTCCCACTGCCTGAAGGTTGCCCATTCTTTTTTCCTTTGATAATTATTTTAATTTTAAAAATTAAATATAAATTAGAGATTTACGTTTTCCCAAAAAAAGATTAAATGTAAGAATAAAACTTACCACAATTTAAAATGTGAGCAAATATAACTACGCAAGTACTTAAACTAAATTTCCAATTTCACTCGCATCTCATCCCCAAAACCACTTTGTTTAAAGCAACGACATGGGCACCCACCAAACGACTCCATATTACCATTTAAAACTAGATCCATTACATTGTGATAAACTCATCTAACACTATTACATTGGGTCGCAACCTCACTTGCCAAATCTTCCAAATAGTGTGTCATTCTTTTAAAATGCCCATTCGACACCCCCACTGATTGCATAATTTCATGTTTCACGTGCAATAACTACAATGACAATCAAGAAGCGGTGACATTTTGTATCATATATTGTCTTGTCCGTTTGAATACACGTGAAATACATGCCGGCTCTAACTTGATTTATTTACCTAAGAATGTTAAATGACCTAACACTAATTTGATATGTTTATTCAACATGTCATGCTTGAGTTGACATATGCAATTCGTAAATGATAAACATTAGACATGATGAGTTTATAAACTATATGCACTCATCACTCACTTGTACATTTGAAGTAAAAATGCTTTTGCAAAAAGAGCTTATAATGCTAGAAGGATTCGTACAATACAAATTTAAGAAATGAAATAAAAATGACATTATGTGATGTAAAACCTGTCATTTTTAAAACTACTTAAGTAATAACCGATCTATATTTACTAGAGATGGGCATCAATCCGGCGGAACCGATGAAACCGATTGAATCAAATCGTAATTACCGATTGAATCAAATCGTAATTACCGATTTGGTTTGGTTTTGATCAAGAAAAATTCCAATGTTTTAAAAAACAAATCGGACCATATATGGTTTAGTTTGGTTTGATTTTGAACTTTTGTAAACCGGTCTAAACCAAACCAAACTAAACCATTTATGTGTATTTTTATTATATTTTACATGCATAATATTGTAATTAGGTAATAAATATATGAGAATGATTTAAAAATGGAGCAAGTTGTGAATTTGTTGGTTGTAATTGGGCTAATAATATTGAAAAAATGCAAAATAAAAGAGAATGGGGCTTAAGCCCAAACCGGCCAAATCAAACAATCTTAAATTGGTTTGGTTTTCTTCATAACTTTTGTCAAAATCAAATTGAACCAAATGTTATATTGTAATTGATTCCGTCGTGATTTTAAAGTAAAACTGATCCAATCCAGACTGTACCCTAATATTTACTAATTCCATATCACTTTCATTTAACTTTATTGGCTAATTTTGTTATCAATCTCAAATAGGTTAAATTGAGATAAATAAAATCTGCATTCTAGATTGACTTGTGCGACTCTGCAGCATTATACATTTACTACCCCAATTCATTGCAAACAGGTGACCACCAACCCAAAACTGACAGTCACATCACAAAGCCTTAAACACAATTCTATGAAAAGGAAGAAATGTAGAAAATCTAAAGGCTAATCACATACCATGATTGCTAAATATGGGATAATGGTATTGCAATTGACTAATTGACCCTTTTGTTTTGGATTGTACCTGCTGCAGTCACTTTTAATTAACTTGCGTTTTAGATTTGATTTTCATGCAACCTGATCCGTAGTCTATACTTTAAGTACATACATAAATCGAGTAGCAGATACCTTGTCATTTTCCTCATCAAATTGGGATAAAACAAACACGTGCGAAATAACCAACATTTGAACAACACAGAACAATCAAGAATCAGGGTTGAAAATCGGAATCTTCAACTTGATATTGCTACCAAATATAGACTAACTTTGTGGTATATTCGGGTTACAAAAAGTGTTAACATTTCATAAACTTACCCAAGTAACAAATTGCTTTTTCATTTATGCACCCCAATTGGAAATAATATTATATTGCAATTACGCGACAGAAAATACTTCCCTCATTCCTTACAATGTAAGTA